AATTCACAATTTTGGTAGAGGCACTCTTGCTCATCATAACAATGCACTTAGTTAGTCTATTTAATACCCAGGAGCCGAGAAGAAGATTTTCAAAGAATTCATGTATTTTCACTATATAATCAATAGAGCCCCGCCCTAACACCAGAACCCCTGACCCTGGGGCCATAAAATTCACAATTTGGGTAGAGGCACTTTTGCTCAACATACCTATGCACTTAATTAGTCTATTTAATACCCAGGAGCAGAGAAGAGAAGATTTTCAAAGAATTCATGTATTTTCACTATATAATCAATAGAGCCCCGCCCTAACACCAGAACCCCTGACCCTGGGTCCATAAAATTCACAATTTTGGTAGAGGCACTCTTGCTCATCATAGCTATGCACTTAGTCTATTTAATACCCAGGAGCAGAGAAGATGATTTTCAAAGAATTCATGTATTTTCACTATATAATCAATAGAGCCCCACCCTAACACCAGAACCCCTGACCCTGGGGCCATAAAATTCACAATTTTGGTAGAGGCACTCTTGCTCATCATAAATATGTACTTAGTTGGTTTATTTCATACCCAGGAGCAGAGAAGAAGATTTTCAGAGAAATAATGCATTTTCACTAAATACTTATTTAGCCCCGTCCTAGCACTAGAACCCCTGACCCCAGGGCCATGAATTTCACAATTTTGGTAGAGGTCTCAATGCTGAATACAATCACACAAACAGTTTGACTGCTTGATGTCCAGGAGTAAAGAAGAAGATTTTTAAAGATTGCATTAATTTTAGTGGTTTTGGCCCCACCCCTCAGGCCCCAGGGAGGCAGGGATCATGAAATTCACAATTTTTGTTCCCCTTTACCCATAGATGCTTTGTGCCAAATTTGGTTGAAATTGGTTGAGTTGTTGCAGAGAAGAAGCTGAAAATGTTCAAATGTTAACGCACGACGGACGACGCACGACGACGGACAACAACGGATAGCAATAGGTCACCTGAGTTTACTCAGGTGACCCAAAAATGACTACTAAGTAAAACTTTTTTAAGAGTGACAGTTATTCACCATCTAGAGAGCAATTCTGAAAAGTCGTGTCACTTTCAAATATTTTTCACATTCCAAATAGCCAAATTGAATTTGAATTACAATACCAAAACTTAATACCTAAACTGCATCAAAATCCTTATCAACATTTATTGGATACAGATCAGGTTCCAGTTAATGTTCTACCCAGGTCTTTGTTTACTCTAAACGAAAATGTTGACAGCAGCGAAGGATGACCTTCAAAATGTATTTACATCATCTTAGCATTTGGAAGTAGTGGATGATTTAAAACTCCAAGAAACTAAACTTTAATAAAATTCGAAATCAAAAACATTTACCAAACCAATAAATCAAAAATGTAGAATTTATTAACACTTTATGTATCTATATCTTAGATCAGGCTTTCTGGGATTAAAGACAATTGCTAATTTGAATACCTTTTGACGGTCATAGGTAAATCTTTTTTGTTAAAAAAGATTTTAAGCATATTCTAATGTTGATATTCAAACTATACCTTTCCTTTTAACACAATGTCAAGAAGCGTTTTTTAGATCTGAACCCATGATCATGAAACAGATTAAACTTAAGTCAAATTTTCAATCGCCTGTAAAATGTTTATTATTTATCAAATTAATCTTAGAATCTGCAAATAGCAACACTTACTAGTATATAAATCAATCTTAAAACATCTGCTTGACACCCTCAATATTTTGACTTAAGCTTAAGGTGTTTCATGATCCCAGGGCCAGGATTTCCAGTAATTTGTTGAAATTCCCATAGGAACTAAATGTGTCTCGTTAAAACCAGTCTGTTCTTGTATTCTTATGCGCTCAGATCGATAGATCCGAGGCGTATATTGTTTTTGTCCTGACGTATGTCTGTTTGTCTGCAAACTTTAACCTTCGCCATAACTTTTGAACAATAAAAGATAGAGACTTCGTATTTGGTATGTATACTCCACTAATTAAGCTCTTTCAAATGACACCAAGGTCTATGACTTTGTGACCTTGACTGTGACCTATATGTGCTAAAAATAGCTTTTTGTCTGCAAACTTGAACCTTCGCCATAACTTCTGAACCATGAAAGATACAGACTTCATATTCGGTATGCATACTTCACTAATGAAGCTCTTTCAAATGACACCACGGTCAATGACCTCGTGACCTTGTCTGTGACCTAAATGCTAAATTTAGCTTTTTCGTACCTTCCCCATAACTTTTGAACCATAAGAGATAGAGACTTCATATATAATAGGCATACTCCACTAATCAATTTCTTTCAAATGACACCAAGGTCAATGACCTTGAGACCTTGACGGTTACCTATATGCTAAAAATAGTTGCTTTTTTTTCGAATTTTGTTGCCACCGGGTGCATAGTGTTTCACAAACACATCTTGTTTTCAAGTTGAATTTAAATCAAATAAATCAAATAATGTCCCTCGCGAAATAAAAAGATACCTCACAGTATAGCACATCTTTTTTATATTGAAAAGCGGGAGGGTATATAGTAATCGATTCGTCTGTACATGTCCGTCCGTCTGTTAAATATCCGCAACTCCTCTCATACCACTGAATGAAAATGAAACTTTCACAGAATCTTTATTACATATTGCCATTGTGCACCTCCTATTTTACTTTTTGATCCAAAACAAATTTTGGGTTTCCCGGCCACAGCAAAACACATCTCATTCACAGTACTTTATATATCTGAATATTTTACTAGCAATAGAATATGACACTGGTGGCAAACAACGAAACTAAATGATATACGTCGCAAGATGATTTCAACTAATCTATTATAATATTCAACTTCCTTTATAAAGAAAAATGTAGAAATACCATTTTCACCTGCATGTGGAAGTAAATGTTTCTAAGCTGAAAGTAAGAACATGCACTACATACGACAATTTTGTGAAATAACCATTTGTGTTTACCGTTTCCCATATAAGCTACATGTATTAATTCCAACATTCAATGAATTTGGCTCATAGAATCCAGATAAGAAATTGAAGTGTTGACTGAAGTATTAAGAGAATGCTGTCGGACGAACGCAGATAGCTATTACTCGGAGTTCTCGCAGTAAATGATATTTGCATTGGTTCTACAGGGACGCTTTTAATCAGGGGTTCTTTCCTCTTTTCTTCATGTTCTTGATATTCGAAAAAAAAAACATGGGTTAAGGAGGACAGTCTGAAATACCCTAATAAAAGCTAATCATCCATCGTGTTTACTGGTAATACAGACCTTAAAACTACCTACAACACCCCTTGCACGGTTTGTTTCGTTTCTTGCATGGAACGTTTCGATATGTGAACGGTTTGTTTGTTTTGTTAACGGTACATTTGTTTTTCGTTTTGGGTACTTTGTTTCGATTTGCGAACTTAACTGTACGCTTCGATATTGTGAATGATACGTTTTGATTTGGACAGATTTATGCCCCTTGCTTGGACTTGGAAAAATTCCATTTCATTGCATTTCAGTTCATTTTCTTTGCAGAAAGTTGCACATATTGAAATGAAACTAGAGGCACTGTGAGCAATGAGCTCACTTAATGATACCCCCTGCCTCCCATATGAATAGAATGGCAGTGTCCATCTTTTGCTATGGGAAATCCAAAAATATGTATCGGATCAAAAAGTGAAATAAGTGGTGCACAATGGCAATATGCAATAAAGATTCTGTGAAGGTTTCATCAAATTTCATTCAGTGGTACGAGAGGAGTTGCGGATAATAGATTGGTACCACTAGCGTAACAGACAGACGGACAGACGTAGAGCTAGACGGACGGACGGACATACCGATTACTATATACCCTCCCGCTTTTCGAAAAATAAAAGCAACATGCTCAGTATTTACACCTTTATATGATTTAATTTTCTCAGTGTCCGAAAACCATTCTCCAGTATTGTATATACCTGTATATAAAAGAAGGTCCTTAATGAAAAACACAAATCTAGGTAAAAATACCAGGCCTAAGCTCTAGTATGTCCGATTATTATAAATGTGAAATTTAACACAAATCACTGCCTTTCCACATTCTGGGTATGTGTATTCATTTTTATAGGAAAATTATGCATAAGTATAGAATTAAACGCTAAAAAGATTAGACAGCTGGAACGAATATTAACCCGATGAACTTAGACTGATTTATATATCGGTGCTATCATTTTTTTAATAATAAATATAGGAGGGTGCAACTTGCAAAAAAATCCTGAATAGAAAAAAGCTTAACTTTGTTAATGTACGTTTGATCGTCTATGTTTATAGGTGCCCATTAGTATATTCTGGATAGCCATTAATGTTCTGCAGACCAAAGCAAACATGATTCTTTCATTATTTGTACGACGTTTAGTGAATATTAACTTTCTTCAAGGCGGTACACGTTTGGATAAGGACAGGCAATGTAAGTAAAATAAGATTTTAAAGCAGTTTTTCTTCAAATTCATATAAAGCAATTTTATAACTGTCCCACTTAAAACTTTGCGCAAACATTGCATGAATGCGTGATTTTATGACAACAAACATGTCTTAAATTGATTTCGCTTTAATTTTCATTCTTTTCTTTTCAACTGATTAGCAAGCAGAAAATGCAACCTATATCATTCCTTATTTGAATATTTTAATAATCGTATATATATATTTTTTTATTTCATGTGAAAAAAGAAAATTGTTTACAAAAAAGATTCAACGGATTTTAAAATGACCTTTACGAGAAAAACACGTGTATTAAAAACGTATTACGAATTCATTTTGAGCCTATTACACAAAGATAAAAAACGTGAAGACGTCACGTGTTCTTTTTACACCCAAAGGATCAATTGTCCATATCTTAGGGTCGTGCTTGACCAGCGGAAAAAAAATCTTAAAAGCGGTAGTTCATTCCAACCACACTGATGCTTTTTTTCTCCAAATTACTCAACAAAAATTATTTGATTTGCTTTTTAAAGAGAGAAAGAAATCTGTAGGAAATGTATCAAGCTAGTAAAAGATTGCAGGCAATTCGCCGACAACTGAAACAAATGGATGAACAGTATAGAAATGCTATAGATGAATTTGAACCTGTAACAACGGCAGAATCGAATGTCTGTTCTGACGAAAGGATAGATAATGCACATAAGGTAATTTTTCGCTCAGTAGTTTGCTTTTTTGTTTTTAAAAAATACGTTTTGTAATCATCTTGATGATATTATAAACATTTATCATTTTTTCTCAAGTTAAAGGAGACATGTACATGTAAAAGATGGACATGTTTTACAGAATAAAATTTACAAAAGAAATCGATGAAACACTCGCAGTATTTAATCGCACTGAAAACCGTGAATGTTTGCATCAACATTTACAATTTTTTCCACTGACTTGATTTATCAAGTCGAATATTACGAGACGTATTCTGAATATGGAGACATTTCAGTTGCCGTCTTAGCATCCTGATTAATTAATTAAACGAAACAAATATTCTTTTGAAATGTCCTTATAAATAGAATGGTATTCTTTAATAACAATGAGTTGATTGGGCTTTAAACTAAACTATGAGGTTTTCTACCTGCAATTATTTTATTCAGCACTACTTTCTTAAATTAATCTACCTCTGAAGATAGATATGTTGATGAGGAAATTGCTAATTGTACGAGTATGTGGTTTGAACTTTATCTTGAAATTTCTTGCATTATATTCTAAGAAAACAGTGCATCAAAACAATATTACGTGTATGTTTAAAAAAACCAAGTGTCTTTGAATTAAATATAAGTGTGTAGAATGTCAAATGTGGAAGGTGGCGAAAACGAGAAGTCATCATTCTCATGAAATACAGTCGTAAACAGAAATAGAATCAGATACCTAGGAGGAATATGTATACCCAAAGAAAAGAATTTTATTCATCGCAGCACAGAAAAGATAATAGATACTCATAGAACTTCACAAGTTTGTAGCCCATAATCTGACGTATATGTTTAGATTTAATTAATAAAACAGAAAGAATTAGATCGCTCCAAACAGGCACATGATAACGTAAACATATTTATATGTGTGTAATGAACTAAGACTACATTAATTATCATGCATAATTGTGCATTTTGTACATGTGTTTTAGTATCAGAGGTGCCATTATAGGGCATATGTAAAATAAAGCTGGCCCGATTATGCTCTTTGTGTTACCTCCCTTGTAATGTGTAAAACGTTTAACATTAACAATCATGGTTACTCATAAATAATGACTGACAGACAGCTATAAATGTATCATTAGTCTATAAACAGGCAATCACCTTGAAAATTCGGGGGCATGAGAACTTTTTGATAAGATGTGGTCTAGCGATTAAGGACAAGTGTACCGAACATGTACACAAACTGCCCTGTTCCTTTCCCTCTGATCATTGTCTTAGATATTCTCAATTTAAAATCAACGTACCATAAGAAGCTTATACACAAAAAGATAGCATACATTACCAGTAGAGTATAAAAGACGGCCATCGACCGACGTAAAATCCATACACTAAAATAGATACTCTCATTGAAGTATATAGAGCGAGGATTCTCAAAAATCATTGTAGTAAAAAAAAAACATGGTAAACAAACACTTTTCACATAGAACACTTTCACATTCATAATTAGAGTTAATAATTGTAAGGTTTTTCTTATAATAAATATAGTTCAGGTGATGTTAAGTATAAGTTGGTAAACTTTTCCCGATTTGCCTGATGCTTTGGTGTCGAGTGAGGTGAGGGACAAATCCTATGACGAGGGAATAGTTTTTTTTGCAACTTACATGTATATATATGTAGTACGTTTAATCGAGAAATAAAACCTTTTTGAGTTTCTCTCTGTTTCAAAAACAGCTCTAGTATTTTTTTTTTTTTAGCTCACCTGAGCTGAAAGCTCAAGTGAGCTTTTCTGATCACATTTTGTCCGGCGTCCGTCTGTCCGTCTGTCTGTAAACTTTTCACATTTTCGACTTCTTCTCAAGAACCGCTGGGCCAATTTCAACCAAACTTGCCACAAAGTATCCTTGGGTGAAGGGGATTCAAGTTTGTTCAAATGAAGGGCCACGCCTTCATTCAAGGGGAGATAATTGGGAATAAATGAAAATTTGGTGGCATATTTTAAAAATCTTCTTCTCAAGAACCACTGTGCCAGGAAAGATGAAATTTATGGAGAAACGTCCTCAGGTAGTATAGATTCAAATTTATTCAAATCATGACCCCCGGGGGTAGGGCGGGGCCACAATGGCCGACCAAAGTTTTACATAGAAATAAATAGGAAAATTCTTTAAAAATCTTCTTCTCAAGAATGACAAAGCCATAATTCATCATATTTATATGGAAGCATGCTCAGGTAGTGTAGATTCAAGTTTGTTCAAATCATGACCCCGGGGGTAGGGCGGGGCCAAAATGGCCGACCAAAGTTTTACATAGAAATATATAGGAAAATTCTTTGAAAATTTTCTTCTCAAGAATGACAAAGCCATAATTCATCATATTTATATGGAAGCATGTTCAGGTAGTGTAGATTCAAGTTTGTTCAAATCATGACCCCCGGGGGTTAGGCTGGGCCAAAATGGCCGACCAAAGTTTTCAAAGATATATATAGGAAAATGCTTTAAAAATCATTTTCTAAAAAATAGAAAATCCATGATTGGTCATGGGACTACTTTTGGATTTAAACTTTACAATAAAAAACCATTTTCAAAGATATATATTTCCTAAAACCCTTAGTGCTCTAAAAAATAGCAAATCCATGGGCCTCTTGTTTTTTTGTTTTTTTTTTTGTAATTATCTTTAATTATTTGATCCTAACTGGTGCGATTTTATATAGGCCCAGATGTGGTTTTCCATTCTAAACGTTCTCTTTACATGTATACACTAACGACCAAGGATTAATAATTATATCAAGTAAATATACAGGTAAAAGTCACTGAAAGTTGGTTGAAAGGTCACTGAAAGTTGGCTGAAAGGTCACTGAATGTTGGCTGAAAGGTCACTGAAAGTTGGCTGAAAGGTCACTGAAAGTTGGCGGAAAGGTCACTGAATATTGGCTGAAGGGTCACTGAATGATGACGTAAAGGTAACTGAATGTTGACTGAAATGCTAACCGAAATGTCACTGAATGTTTTCTGAAAGGTCACTGAAAAGTGTGTGCCATTCAGTGACTGAAGTGTCACTGAAATGTTGCTGAAGTATGTCATTCAGTTTTGACTGAAAGGTCTGATTTCTTCCTGTGAAGTAAATATACAGGTAGAGGTATATTACCTATTTGCAACAGGTCAGGATTTCTGGAATTTGGTGTTGATTTGTTCTTAGACAAAAAGACTCGGAAAATGGAATATTGTTCCAGGAGATCAGAGAATTTAAAAAAAAAGGACAGAAAAGATTTAAAAGAACTTAGTGTTTGGGGCTATTATTGGTGTTATTACAGTAACAGTGAAATTAACACTTTGAGCAACTTAGATCTTAGAACTTAATACTTAGAACTTACTAGTACTGTCTTTGTATTATTTGAAAATTTTAACAAGTCATATTTGTAATTTTTGTTATGTTGTCATCGAATTGAACTTGTCTTTCTTCGCTGCCATACATGTATGTCGGCCTGAAGTTTCTAAAAAAAATTCAAATTCTCTTCTAGTAAAACAATAATTGTGTTGATATTACATACAGGTAGCTATAGTTTGATATGATGTTTCTGAAAAAGAGTTCCTAAATATTATATTGTGATGTTATAATTGTCACAAGGTAACAATGCCTTTAATATTGATTTACTCTATGTTAAAGCAAATTAGAAAATTAAATATTTCGTAAATTATAAAAACAAGATGTTTTTGTGAAACACTATGCGCCCAGTGGCAACAAAGTTCAAAAAAGCTATTTTAGCCTATGTCACAGTCAAGGTCATAAGGTCATTGACCTTGGTGTCATTTGAAAAAGCTAAATTAGTGGAGAATGCGTACCAAATATGAAGTTTTCATTGTATCTCACGGTTCAAAACTTATGGCGAAGGTTAAAATTGACAACAGACAGACAAACAGACAGACAAGACAAAAACAATATACGCCTTAGATCTATCGATCCCGAAAAAAGAAGACTTAATAGTTGGTTTATCCTATTCATTCGAAGGTAAGAGGAGGACATTAAACATGTCACTAATTTTATTTCTGTAGGAAAACTATATTTCTTTACTTTAAAATTGTTGTCCTGTTGGTCTATCCAGATATATTGACCAAGCACGATATAGCCTCATGAGAGGGTTATTTGTTATAATATATTCATGTATGTATATAATTTTTTACTAATTATATAAATGTTAGTGTCTTTTTAGCACACCTCCCCGCATTAGGCCCCACATTCATGGACAAGTTGTCTAGATTATTAAATTATCAAGGCAAATTTATATATATATATATAATTTATATATATATATATATATATATATATATATATATATATATATATATATATATATATATATATATATATATATATATATATATATATATCGACGGTCTAAGTGACAGCGTCATCGATGTTACCATAGCTGATGTCCATAAAGTTTTGCTCTACCCGGGAAGTCGATCAAAAAGAATTCGTTAAGAAAATTCAAATTTCAATTCATTATTGTACATGCATACTATGTCTAGTGACGTTTTCATTTTTTCTTCTGTATTTAAAATATCAAAAGTCTCTTAAGGCGACATTACTACATATAAATCCAAATGAACTGCTCTCCTTTGCGCCGTAACGTCATCAAACGTCGCCATTTTTCGTCTATTGTGTTTACCAACTTCCTATTTCAAATGCTCGGGAAACTGCCAAAGTACTCAAAGCTTTTTGAGCAATAAGCTCGGCTAAAACCACGTCAAATGTCTTTGAAGGATAACAAGCGTAACTTTGCGTTTTTTATATAGTTTAAACTGCACAGGCAAATGTATCGAGGGGACAAATAAGCTTCGTTTTCTTTTGTAATGTATGATATAGAAATGTACCGGGTATTTGGTTTGTCCGCACCCCCTACGGTCTTGCTTTTATTTGCGTTAATAAGAGCTAGAGTCTCACCTAAATATCACGTCAGGGTATGTCTACTTTAATAAACAAAATGCGTAAAATTCAGTGTTATACATGTTTAATTCCAGACTGATCGAGTACTATGAATTTTTTTAATGAATTTTTAACCTTAGCTCTCCTCTGATTTAAGACTGATGAAGCTAGAGGTTCCAGCGTTGGCTACTCTACTGCTATGAATGTTGACAGCCAAGAAGAACAGCTATCTAGCAGCATGACTATCGGGATAGATCTAGGATCTTTTGTGGATTGTTCCAGCAGTGAAGTTGCTGGAATCCTCCTGTCAGAAGAGCTTCGGTGCGCAATTTCAAACATGGAGGACCTAGACGACGTATGTTGTATTTTTCGTTTTTATATTTTGTCGTAATTGTTTAAAACGTATAATGTCACTCAAAGAGTTACAAATAAAGACAGATTTCGCTTCAACAGTCAAGCTTTACCAAAGGTTCAGTCATGCTACCACATGTATGTGTGCAACAACCAATGTAAATTTTAGAAGGCTCAACTACTACTTGCGACATTAAATATTTACTAAATTTATAATTTGTTTAGATGTGTAACATTTTTACAGAACTGTTATTCTCTTTCAGGTTTTTACAATGAAGTCAAAATGCTAAAGTTAAAAATTCATAAAATGTATAAAAATGTTTTAGGGGAAAATATTAATTGATTTCAAGAAGAAACCTTTGTTATTCTTTATGAGATCAAAAGCTGAAGATGCATTTCATATTTTGCATAAAACAGTTTCCTTGTGATAAATTTAGTATATTTTTATGTCGGGAGGGCATATTGCTTTGCTGCTGTCTGTCGGTCTGTCGGTCCACTTAGTTTCCGTTCATTTTCTTCACAACCGTTGCACATACTGAAATGAAATTTGGTATACAGATATATCAGATGAATATCTAGGTCAAGTTCTGTTTTGGTTACGATCGCGCCATTTTTGACAAGAGTTATGCCCTTTTGGACTTTGAAAAATTCCAATTTGGGAGGGAGGGGACATAAGTGTTTTACAAACATCTCTTTTTATTTTAGATTTGCAGTAAAACATTGCACTTTTTGTCAACGAGACTTTAAAGTTTGTTAAAAAAATAAGGGTCATGAATTACTTTACCCCCCCCCTCCAAAATAAACAAAAAACATAAAAAAAAACAACACTACACACCTTTAAGGCTAAAAACTCAAAGTTCAAGGTTGACCTTTGATTTCCTTCTGCATCTCCATATTTTTTTTATATTCTTCAATCGTCTTCCTATTTTCTTATGCGAGGGCACGAACTATGCCTAAACTTGTTCTATGTAAGATTTTTTTTTTGGCAGGTAGAAAATCTTATAGGTAACATGATGAGCTCTGTACAGGTAGACACTTCTTATGACGAGGACCTGGAATCGGTAGTAGAACAGACAGGTAGTTTAGTGGTAAGTAAACCATAGTGAAGAGCTACTACAATGTTAATGGGTACATGTAAATCGATTGGCCTGATAAGGCGCCAAAGTAAAGATAAATGTATGTGCCAGGACGGATGATTACTGTGCAAGTTTAAAAAGTGAAAATTCCTCTCGTTTGAGGAAGTTCATTTACTTGTTAAAAGAAAGCTTTGGGGAGTCTGGAGCAATGGTCGTGTTTTTATTTTACCACTGTGTGGCATTGATTTATTCTGTAATATTTACATTTCCAATGTCTTTGTCCGAGATAAAATTACAAATAGTTAATGTCCTTTATTTCCTCATCAATGTACTGGTTCATCGATAGGTGCGGTTAAAAGAATCACGTACAGGGCGGGACAAATAGAAACAAACACGGGGCTTGTAGCACGTTGATTGGCGGAATCGAGAGCATGTAAATATAACTGTCAGATTTTTTGCTTTCATGACGATGATCAATCGATTTGCTTGCGTGATAATTTTTCGCAACGCCTTCGGCATTTATGCAAATGATCTCGCGAGCTAATCGATTGATCACATCATGAAATCAAAAAATAAGACAGTTATTCCTTAAATATACTTTTATTATAAAGTCAAAAATAGAATGTCTTTAACGAATTAATTTGACACTTTAAAAATTGTCTTTGGTGTACGAATAGTTGATGTTTATTTTTTGTTTTGATGCTTTTGTAATTATTGAAATTTTATGCATCTATAAAATATGTAATAAAATTTTAACTGAATTCAAGGTTCTAATGACAAATAATCTTCTCTTAATTTTTTTTTAATCATTTTTCATTATTTTAATTTGGGGGAGGACGGGTCAAATCTTTAAATTCAGGCTAAAGGTCAAGGTCCTTCTAAACGTGAAAATCTAATTTCCCTCACACCAAGACGACCAGTCATGAGGTACAAATAAAAAGCTTGACGTGTTGTGGGATAATTGTTGTCAGTACATACAATCACAAAACATCAGGTAGCATAAGATAGCCTGTCAGCACATGTAGATAGCCTGTCAATCATATTAGTAGTTAATGTTTGATTGTGATTGACAAGGGGTTATATATTGATATTGGTCTTGAATTGCTGCAATTCGACAGCTCAGAGTAGGAAAAACGAAATAATGGTCAATACATGTAAAATTTACGGCTAAATTATAACCATGCTACATGCGTAAATATATAGTAGACAATTATGAATAACATTGACGATTAAATCGTAACAAGCCTAAATTTAATATCTTTCATTATCAAATATATGGAGATAACGAAAGTATTCAAGCTCAAAAGTCCATTAAACAATACAAAACAGGAGCAGAGAAAACATCAGAGGTGGGATCAGGTGCCAATATAACATCTTATATTACCGGCATAAATCTTCTTTATTTTTACATTTTAATAACTGAAAGAGAGAGTTATTATATATTTTTAATATTACATTGTTTGATTTTAATAGAATGCCTCCAGCACTGATATTCATCATACGTCTGACCCAAACAATGAAGTTGAGAATCCTGCACAAGGAAATAGAATGTTCACTTCAATCAGAGAGGAGGAAAATTGGAAGAAAGAAAGAAAAAAGAAGGACAACCATAATATTAGTAAGTTTAATAATAAATCTAAAACTACGCAAATGATAATTTTTTTTTTTTAGAAAATACGTATATATTTTGAACAATACAATGTATGTATAAAATAGACGTACAAATAGATTCAACATTATATTGTTATTAAGGATTTTTTTTGCATAAAACTTCATCCTCATCGCCGGTTATGCAAATTATCCCATGTTTCCCACTATTGTTGATGCCCTGACATACCCTCCTAACTAGACTATGTTACGCGTATTCGTAATTTAACTACATTACGAAAAATTGTAATATAAGTTTTATGATTACGATAACTTGTAATATTACGCTTTCCTTATCTTATAAAACGTAATACGAAGCGTATTATGACTGTAAAATATATGTGATGACTTTAACTCTTCATTAAACAATTGTCAGTTTCCCAGAGGTTCACTTATGCGGCATAAAATATTTTTACATTTTAATCTGAAAGAGAGAGTTGTTATATATTTTTAATATTACATTGTTTGAGTTTATATATCTCAGTTGACCCAAACAATGAAGTTGAGAATCCTGCACAAGGAAATAGAATGTTCACTTCAATCAGAGAGGAGGAAAATTGGAAGAAAGAAAGAAAAAAGAAGGACAACCATAATATTAGTAAGTTTGTAAATCTAAAACTACAAATGATAATTTTTTTTTTATAAAATACGTATATATTTTGAACAATACAATGTATGTATAAAATAGACGTACAAATAGATTCAACATTATATTAAGGATTTTTTTTTGCATAAAAACTCAAATTTTTGATGACACAACTTGATGATAAACGTGATGACTTTAACTCTTCTTTTGTCAGTTTCATTTACGTATGCGGCAATATACCTTCATCACCTGCATACGGAGTTTATATATCTCAGTTGATTCGATACGCAAGAGCATGCTCTACGTATGAACAATTTCTAAAACGAGACAAATTTTTGACGAACAAGTTGATGAAACAAGAATATCATCAGTCTCGTTTAAAGTCATCATTTCGTAACATCTATGGTCGATACATCGACCTTGTCAGCAAATACAATTTATCATTGAATCAAATGCTGACTGACGTTTATCATACTACATGTAATTATAAGTCCATTATTATACACTGAATTGACGACGGATTTTTCCGTTATTTCCTGATCATGACAAGGATCATACGGCGGGTGTTATCGGTTGGCAGAGGATGATCACTCCTCCATGGCACTTTATTCCACCTCCAATGTTTTGGAGGTCCATGTTTGCTCTGCTATTTGTATTGTTTTATTGACTTTTGATATCGAATACTGTTCGTTATCTCCATATGTTTCATCCTTTAGGATAAAGGGCAACTTATATCTCTAATATTTCAAAGCGAAGTCACTTTCAAAATCTATGTACACTAATAATGAAATCGATCGCAGGTTATGCAAAACAACTTATCTTGATTTCGTTTTGCAATATTCAAACACCATTCCCATTCCCGTTTCAGTTGAAAGGCGGCGTCGATATAACATAAACGACAGAATCAATGAACTGGCCACTCTTCTTCCAGCGAGCATTCCTCAGTAAGATGAGTTTTTAGCTCACCTGAGCCGAAGGCTCAAGTGAGCTTTTTTGATCACATTTTGTCCGTCGTCCGTCTAGCTGTCCGTCCGTCCGTCCGTCCGTCCGTCTGTAAACTTTTCAAATTTTCGACTTCTTCTCAAGAACCAATAGGCCAATTTTAACCAAACTTAATACAAAGTATCCTTGGGTAAAGGTGAGTTTAAATTGTTAAAATGAAGGGCCAACCCCCCTTACAAGGGGAGATAATCAAGAAAAGACAAAAATAGGGTGGGGTCATTAAAAAGTCTTCTTCTCAAGAACCACTGGGCCAGGAAAGCTGAAACTTACGTGGAAGCATCCTTGGATAGTGAAGATGTTAAATTGTTAAAATCATGACCCCCGGGGTTAGGACGGGGCCACAATAGGAAATCCAAGTTTTACATAGAAATATATAGAACAAATCTTTAAAAATCTTCTTCTCAAGAACTACTGGGCCTCAAAAGCTGAAACTTATACGGAAGCATCCTTGGATAGTGTAGATATTAAATTGTTAAAATCATGACCCCTTGGATTAGGACAGGGCCACAATAGGGAATCCAAGTTTTACATAGAAATGTATAGAACAAATCTTTAAAAATCTTCTCCTCAAGAACCACTGGGCCAGGATAGCTGAAACTTATGTGGAAGCATCCTTAGGTAGTGTAGATATCATATTGTTAAAATCATGAAAGGGGAGGGGGTAGGGGCACGATAAGTATAGCAAGAGGGAAAATCTGGTAAAGAACCGCATCACCCAAGTTACTCAGGTGAGCGATGTGGCCCAATGGCCTCTTGTTTAATTTGTGTTGGTATTTTAAAGAAAGTGCTATTTTATTCTTGAACTTTTCAGGACGATAATATCTGCCATTTGTGTCACTGTGTCCAGAAGCCATGCCTAATTTTGACAACCCAAATTACAATAAATGGCCTGAAACGAGTTTTCATCCCGTGTTTTAGTTTTTGGCTTTTTGAAATATTGCAGATTATATTAATATTCAATTTTATTTGTCACTTCATCACGGCAAGAGTGATTTTTTTTATTGTAAAAATTCTTAATTCTATGAAATTTGGTCACAACAGTGAATGGATGTAGTTAATTAAGAATACACCTATTTACAGTGACCTAAAGCAAAATAAAGGGTCCATTTTGAAAACATCGGTGGAATATATGAAGGAACTCATGAAGGACAAGCACACTTTGAAAAAGTTGGAGGAAAACCAAAAGGCCATGAATTTAAAACATCAGAAACTGCTCATCAAAATTTTTGTAAGGAACCATTAAAAACTAATTTAGTAAAATGTATTAATGGTAGAGAAAATCTACCTAAAACTGCATAATTTTAAAGTGGTGATGACCAGTTGAGCTCATTATTTGCAGTTTTTACAGTAATACATTTTTTTCAATTCTTTTTAAAGGGGCATGGACACAGTTTCAGCTAAAATTTCAAAATCTATTTTTTCATTTTTACAAATATCCAACTAGGGTCTTTCTAATGATCATCGAAAATTTGAACGTCAGTTGTCGAAATACAAGACAGATTTAGAGCTCCAAACCTTTGTTATGTAAACAAGGACCTTGTCATGTTTTTGTTTACATAGTTTAATGTACTAATATATGTTCGTTCAAAGTAGATAATATCAATAAAAAGTTAATTTTAAATTCGATTTGTCAGTTTCTATTGATTTTGTTATAAATATATTTTCTATATGTAAACAAAAACAAGGCACGAGCCTTGTTTACATTATAAAGAACTGTATAAAGTTCTGTATCTCGTTTGTTTATCAACAAATGATGTTCAAATTTTTGCTAATAATTATATGATGCTTTAGGTAGGAATTGTAAACATTAAAATTGGTTAAAAAAATTCAGTTGAAACTGTCCATGCCCCTTTAAATGATTCATACGACATACATGTAGTTTTAAAAAAATACGACTGGATAACTTTGATACAATGTATACATTTTAATTCAACTGTATATATGAAAGTTATGCACTTAAAATTATTTGGGATTCTAATATATCGGTAAATTTTATTTTAGCAACTGGAATTAAAATTGAAATTATATGGCCTATCGGAGGATTTGGAACATTCCAGGGTCAAAAAGAAAAAGAAGCCACAGAAACGTATATCTGAAATAAACACTATGGTAGAAGACCTTGTCAAACAAGGCATGCCAGAGGTACTCGAACAGACTCCAAATATTTCAATACCCCCTTGCAAGAAGACCAAGAACGAAGGTTGGCTGAGCAATGACGACCAAAAGGTCATTCCATCAGTAAAGATAGGTTTACGACAACATCTCAGCAAGGGAATGCCTACAGGAGGGCAAAACTGTCAACAAAATAATGACATGTTTTATGTTAAATCCACTAATGCTCAGCATTTACAAAAACAGAAAAAAGAAGAAATCTCCGCTCCATCTCATTCTTTTGACAGAAGCACAGGTAGAGCTGATGAACTTCATGACTCCATGTCATTTGAGTATATACTAGAGAAGGACAGTGTCACCAATTCCGGTGGAAATGATGAGGAAGATATCCTGGAATTGTCAACAGAACAATGCGGCATTTTGCTTGATCTGTTCGAAAACAACGCGAGCGGAAAAGCACCTGAATTGAATACGGATTGTTTGTCTAATCCAGACAAAACTCCGGCTAGGGAAGAGTGCATATCGCCATTAACTTCAACGTGCAACATGTTGGAAAGTTTGCTGAGAAAGCAAGATGTGATACCCGAATGTAGCTCCAAATCTAGTGGTCTGGAGGATTCCACCGAGAGCATGACGGGACTGCGTTAGAAAACAGAGAATAAGTTAACTGATTTCATTACTATACTGGAGGTTACATGTTAACCGTCTATGCATTATGTAGAAACCAAAGATATAGTATTTATAGGATATTTAAGGTTAAGTCTGTGTATAATCACTCACTGCCATGTTTTACTGGTGATTTGATCGGACAAACATTAACTGTGTTCTTTAAACGGACATTTAAACAGGTCCTCCGGAAGGAAAAAAAATCCTCAAACTAACCAAGTTGTCAGTTTGCAACATAGTCTACGACTTTCTAACTATTACAATAGTCAATGTACATATCAATATTGGCTTTGTTTTGAACTGCTTTACTGATTGTTGTGTTGCTTTTTAAAACCGTAATCGGGGGTGTTTCGGGGGTATATATACTGACACCCAAAAGAAACGCAACAAGTAGTAATCTACAAATGTTTGATAATTTTTATCTGATGATTATCAAAAGCGAATAAAGTAAGGCTAAACTCACTTTTCTGAACACCAGAGATTTGATAAAAATGTTAAATGTTTATGTGTTTACTTTACTAAGTAAAATATGACTGTTAAAACACCCCCCTCCCAGCCATTCAAGTAAAACGTGCAAGACTGCCCTAAACAACAATTGCAGCTTAATTTCTACGATACAATAGGTTCATTTACATCGAGATCTGAGCGAAGGAATTATTCTTTGGCATTTTTAATACCCGTTATTCAGATGATTAGGTCGAATTTTCTCTAACATAGAGCAGTGTAGCCACCCTTGGACTTCCGGTACAAGGACTGTCCTTAATGCATATGATACGTAAGACCCTGTTGAGACGTAATGTAGTGAAATTTCGCATCAGCAATTCTCCATCACCTTTACATTGTAATTTTCCAGCCAGAGCAATGAAAATGCGTACATAAGCCATTTTCAAGTAGCCTTAGCATCGTTAGAGGAAACGAAAGGAGAGTTCATTTTTTAAAAATATTGCTGCATTACGTATGATGAACAGTAAAAAACCCTTAAGAATCCATAATATTGCCAAATGTTTTGTTAAACATGCAATTTTTGATTTCTGTTAAGCAGACTAAAACTTGACTTCCGGTTATGGTTTGGAAATCGTTCAACCGTTGAATTACCGATGTTTACGAAATTGAAGATATTCATAATTTTAAGATACAAAATTCTTTACTTTACATAATTATTTCGCCCTAAAGGAGGTTGTTGCGTTTCTTTCGCGTGTCAGTATAGTTTTTGCCCTGTACGTCCGTCTGTCTAGCTGTTTGTCCGCAGAAAGAACTATATGCGGTATATTGCATATGTTTGCCCCCACAAAAGTCAAATTTTGAAAACTTCCTGAAATATGCTGAATTCAATAAATTGTAATTTTTGAGAAATATAAGTTAACAGAAAATATTATAGTTCCAGAGCAGTGTATTCACAATTTCTGTTTTTATGACGTCACAAACTAGTCCAATTTTATATCCTTTTTCTGTAACGCTTTCGTTTCCAGAGGACAAAATGCTTTTGACAAAATTTCAACAATTTAAGCTTTAGAATTTATAGAGCGCATGTTTGTTCTGGAACAATATTCACATATTTAATTGATAGTATCATTCTACGTATTGTATCAAAATATTAAGCCTGAACACACATGCGCTCGGTGATTTTCATTTAAAATATCGACGAAATATGTACATTTTTCTGCAAAATTCATAAAAAACTGAAATTTACGTCATATTTGTGACGTCTCTACGTACATATGACGTCATTACTTATGAAATTATTCAGTGCATTGAAGTCAGCATATATTCCCCTGTTTAAGGACTTAATTAAATATTACTCCATCAAAGTTTGATTTTGGGGGGCAAATGTTGGTTAATACCGCATATAGTTCTTTTAAAATTACCAATTTCTTTTGATTGGTTAAAGCTACATGTGTATGGCTCTCATATTCCATGTGTATTCTGACTGTATAGCAAGACCTTTCTTAGGTAAACATTTTTTACCTTGTCCTTGGAATTTGACGTTATTTTTACCAAACTTTAACATTGGCCATAATTTTTGAACAGTCAAATTTCACGAGTACCGGTATTCATAATATCCATTGATATGAATATCTTTTTACCTTGATTTTTGCTTTGGCCACATTTTTAAAATCTTTAACCTTCAAGTTGGACATAACTTTTGAACAGTTAGAACTAGAGCTTTCATATCTCACAGGTGCATTACATGTGACAAGGCCTTCCTTTTGATACCAACAATTTGACTTTTTGTCCCCCGCTTGAAAAGTGGGGGATATTAATTTGGGTCTGTCCGTCCGTCTGTCCTTCCGTCCGTCCGTCTTTCTGTCTGTCTGTAATGCTTTCGTTTCCACACGACATCTCGAGAACCCTTTGAGCTTTTGCAATGAAATTTTGCATAACAACTCCCTATAGACTAAAGAAGACCCCTATTGATTTTGAGGTCAAAAGGTCAAAGGTCAAGGTCATAAATAAAAAAAATTCTGTCCGTTTTAACACTTTCGTTTCCGCGCGATATCTCGAGAACCCTTTGAGCTTTTGCAATGAAATTGTACATAACTATATGTGGCTTATATTGCATATATTTTGAGGTCAAAAAGTCAAATTTTACATTCTAACTTGAAACACTATCATTTTGCTGAATTTAAAAAAGCTTTTGCAATGTAAAATACAAATTAACAGAAAATATTATAGTGTCAAAGCAGTGTATTCACAATTTTTGTTTTTATGACGTCACAAACTAATCCGATTTTTATCTGTTTTCTGTAACGCTTTCGTTTCCACAAAATGAGAACCCAAAATTTGCAACAATTTTAGCTTTAAAATTTATAGAAGACCGCTATTGATTTTGAGTTCAAAAGGAACAATCATAAATAAGCAAATTTCATTGATAAAACATTCGTTTCACATTATATCAAAATATCGCAATGAAATTTTACATAACACACTGTGGCCTAAAGAAGCTCTATTGATTTTGAGGTCAAAATAGTTCAAGGTCGTAAATTTATACATTTTGTGTGTAACACTATCATTTCAAAACTGAAAATTGAGCTTATGCAATGTAATTGTATACAAAACTCACGTCTTACCTACATATGACGCCCCGTTTGTTTTATGAAAATATTACAGTGCTATTTTTTGAGAGTTAGCGTATAATACAGGTTCCGGCAGACTTTATGTTCTTATTACATCTATATATGTTTAATAAAGTTAAATCAAACACCATGGATTGTGTAAAATTTTGAGTATACCGAACATGAAAACATGAATATATACATGTATGTGACTTCAGTTCTGCATATACTCTTACGTGTAAAGCGACTTCGTGGTCTAGTGGTGATTCTTGCTTCAAAAGGTTCAAAGTTCAAGGTCGTAAACCTTTCTTCTCTTTTTTTTTAAATACTTTTTTTTTACAAAATGATAGTATTCAGCATGTGAAATGAAAAATTTATGAGGTTATAAAATCATCATTACAGTGTGATAAATATTCCATATAAAAAAATCTTCTATACACATAATAAAGAATAAGCAATCAAATCTTTATATGCATATTGACATACATGTATTTTATTTCCTTCAGTATACATGTATACATTTAATAATTTACAAATTCAGTCGCTATTTTTAGCACGAATTCTCTGAATTAGCTTGTTTTATTAGTATTTATTGCTTGAGGAGAGTTATTACGTATAATACAGGTTCTCGGTGGACTTAACATTCTTATTACATCTATTAGAACTGTTTAATAAAGGTTAAATAATTAGACACCGTGCATTGTGTAAAATTTTGACAATATCGAACGTGAATATATACATGTATGTGAATTTATCTTTGCATATAATATTGTTCTATTCGAAGCGGTCCCGTGTTCTAGTGGTATGTCTCTCGCCTCACACGTGAGAGGTCCCGGGTTCGATTCCCGAACGATCCATTTTTATTTTTTTCGAAATTCTTTTTTTTTTTACTAAATGATAGTATTCAGCATGTGAAATGAAAAAAATTATGAGGTCTAGCTTGTACAAACTCATAATATCATCATTACAGTATGGTAAATATTCCAGAATCTTCTATACACATAATAAAGAATAAGCAATCAAACCTTTATATCCATATTGGCATATTTTATTTGCTTCGGTATACATGTATTTCGGTATACATGTATACATTTAATAATTCTACAAATTCAGTCAAGGGGATCCGACCCCCACCTCCTCCCCTCCCCCGAACTGCGCATGGTTTACTTTTTCCCTAAGCGGGGGACACAAATTCTCTGAATTAGCTTGTTTATCATGACTTAGAATTTGACCTACTTTTGAAAAAAAATTAACCTTGGCCATAAGGGAGTTTGACCTACTGCTGACAAATCTAACTTAGACTATAGCGTTTGAACAGTTGGTGCAAGCGCTTTACAATTTCAGATATATATTTGAAATAGTATCTCTTAATTTGACTTTGATCTTAAAGTTGACGCACAATAAATAAACCTTGACCATAACTTCAATTAATAATTAATTTCAGTTTCGCTTTCAAATTTCACAAGTTCGTTAAGAAAAAGTCCATTCTTTGGGAAACGATTTTTTTTTTCATCTTTTAGAATTGGACTTGCATTTGAGAAACGTTATCCGTCGCAAAAACTGTCATACGGGGGCATCAGTGTGCAACAAACACATCTTGTTGTTATACCATTTAAACACTTTTCTTCACTGAGTGGAGAAAAGAAACCATTGTTCAGATATATATTTGAACTAAGTATCTCTTAATTTGACTTTGATCTTAAAGTTGACACACAATAAATAAACCTTGACCATAACTTCAATTAATAATTAATTTCAATTTCGCTTTCAAATTTCACAAGTTCGTTAAGAGAAAGTCCATTCCTTGGGTAACGATTTTTTTTTTTCATCTTTTAGAATTGGACTTGCAATTGAGAAACGTTATCCGTTGCAAAAACTGTCATACGGGGGCATCAGTGTGCAACAAACACATCTTGTTGTTATACCATT